GATGTATTTCCAGGAACCTAAGCTCCCGCTATCGCTTCGTGATTGTTTAAGTGCGCAAACGCCAGTAGATTAATCTAGTTACCTCCATAGATTGCTTATCCGCATGGATTTGTGGCTGGACGTAGACTAGTCATTGTTCGCTCACAAGTGAATGGTCCATTTCCGAGTATCCAGACACTCCGAGCCACGAAATGCGTCATATTAGCATTAATGTCCTCTCTTCAGGGCCAGAACTAAAACCAAATACACTGCTATATCTCGAATATCGTGTCAACTGAAACATGATACGGCCTTTGTGTAGCACATTCAATCGTAGAATACCATAAACGAGAGATTACGTTGAGTCTCTCGTGAAAACCAAATTGATCTGCAAATGAGTGTGTATTTCCCAAGATCCTGCTGTTCTTTAGTAAATGTACAATAAATATCGGATTGACTTCGTTAGAGCGCAAATTTACTGACCGGAAGGTTCGTGGTTCTAACCCGACCCCCACATCTCGACTTCCCCTGTCTAGGCTTGGGCAACCTGGCAGTATCTCAGCCCTCGTGCAACCTTCGGGTGACTTGGCAGTTAGGCACCGAAATGATGCTATAGATGAATGATTCACCAGAGTACACAAAGACACATTGCTCCGTGTAGGTGTAAATTTACTGGATTTATTTGTTACATTGGAGTTTCGGGTCAAACTCCGCTCGGATCTTGTTAGACAGTTTGAGTGCCGTGTGATGAATAGTGTGGAAAGTTCAAAGACCAAACGCGGTGTGGTGGAAAACGACATTTGGGTTGCCATGGGCAACTTTTCTGAAGCATTGGTTGGTTGCTGAGAGCAACCGCTGTGTCTCGAATTTAAACTTTTCGATACGTGTTGATGTATCGCCTGCCTCGCCGTTTGATGTTCTGCCCGACCATGTGGCTACATGATTACAGACGAACCCACTATCGTTTGATCTCATCGGTGAGCAAATCACATACTCTGATGCCTATCTGGGGTGGGTAAACGAGATCACACAGACTTACTACAATGTTAAGGGCGAGTGAGTGGTGGTCCAACAAACGAGCGAATTCTACGGGAGTGACAAAGCTCAGGCGCGTGGTTCGAACCCGAGTTCGGCATCTCGACTGCTTCTGTTTGGGCATGCGTAACCTGGAAGCATCTCAGCTAAGCACCAGAAAGAGGGTTACAGCTGAACGCTTAAGTGTGATGCACTATCGACAGTTGAGTCAGTCGGTCATCCGTGAACAGTGGGCAAAAACTTCGGCAAACGAAAGATGGTGTAACAGGCTACTGTATGAGTTATCGAGTTCAACAAATGCGAAGCACTGGACTGAAAACCAGTGTGCAACCGGTCGTGGGCTGTGGTGATTAGCGTGTTATGTCTGGATAATATATCGCGACATCTCAAAACTCACCAAGACAGCCTGGTGTAGCACCAGTCAGTCGGAGAAAACCCTCGTAAAAATGTGAGCTTTAGCTGGATTAAGTTGAGTCTATCGTCAAAACCAAATTAGTATGCAAATCAGAGTATTTGGCGTTTTCCACCTTATCCGGTCCCAATCAAATGAGCGCATTCAAATTTTGAACACGCGCAACACAAGACAGTCGTTTACGGATTGCACGAGCTAGTTCAACTCCATATCGAAAGGAAACTAAGAAAATCTAATGCTCGATATTGAGGGAGTGAGTGGTGTGCTAAAGTCTGCACAATCTGAGTGCAGAGACAAAACATTGCAAACGGGAGACTTAGCTGGGTTCCAGGTGAGTCTCTCGCAAACCAAATTTGTTTGCAAATCAGTGTACTTCGCTAATTTCGAGCAATTTGGTTCCAAGTAGAGCATAAGGTTTTCGGGGAAACTCGGGGACTGCGCCTACCTGATGAGCCCCAAGAAGGGCGAAANNNCAACCTTATGATTAGTAGATTACAATAGATATATATACATGTATCGCGATATTTGAAATGTTGTGGCGACTGAAACATGAGGCGGCCTGGTGCATGCAGCACACTCACTTGCCTGAGAACATCATAACCGACCGAGAGACTCAGCCGGGTTCCAGGTGAGTCTCACAAAACCAAATTAGTTTGCAAATGGGCGTATTTCGCCAAAAACTAACTAATTTAATTATCTACAAGGTGTTCTATGCCAATTAGTGACAGGCAATTTTATCAAAGGTTTTTTAATGAGTTCTGCGCTAGTTCGGATTCTAATTTACCCTCAGTGTACTTCGCTAATTTCGAGCACTCATCAACTTCATGGAAGGTGTGCGCTTCGTCATTAGGTGTGTGTGCGAGAAATTCTAGACATCTTGGTACACAGTTTCCACTTTGTCCGAAGCTGGGAGTATTTTCTAAAATTCACGATAGCCGAAAACAGGGTTCTGGCCAGATTGTGCGTTTTCGACACTTGAAACCTTTAAGGGGCCCAGAAGATCACACAAAACTAGTATCCCTGATGATGACGACGACGTTGATGATGATGATGATGATGATGATGATGATGGTGATGTTGATGATGGTGATGATGTTGATGATGATGAAATTCAGCTACGACACCTATTCCGTGCCTTGTTGCCATGCTACCTGAAGGCAGTAAGAGGGTTGAAATATAGTCTGGTTGCCCAAGCGGATGCTGATGATGATGATGATGATGATGATGATGATGATGATGATGGTGATGTTGATGATGGTGATGATGTTGATGATGATGAAATTCAGCTGCGACACCTATTCCGTGCCTTGTTGCCATGCTACCTGAAGGCAGTAAGAGGGTTGAAATATAGTCTGGTTGCCCAAGCCTAGGCAGGGGTGGCTGAGATGCCGTAGTTGTGTTTGAACCGCAGAACCTCTTGTCGAGCCTTTGGAAATCTCGAACCCGCCAGATTCCAGACTGTGGTCAAACATTTGAACGAAAGTTGAGGGGTTCGAGACTCTCCGGAGTTTCGTGAGATGAGCACTGCTAATGATTCCCAACAAGGATGAAACGGCAATACAGTGCTTTTCGGTTTGTCAGCACAGACTGGCTTCACTGACAGGATGAAACCTCTACTGCACGCTCCAGTTTTCGCCCAGACTGGCTGAACTCTCATCGTATCCTGGTAGAAAATATCACTGCTATCTTGTTGTGGATTGGTCACTTCGATACACTCTAACGGGTACTCAGTGGTAAAACATCACAAGTTCAGCCACATCAAGAGCACTAATCCAAGTTGAGATAGATGAATGACTCGCTGTTCTCCCCGATTGTGACCACTGTTCAGAGGATGGTTCCCTGGGGTACCCTAGCGGAAGATTCAAGATTTGTACAATACAAGTGAATGACATTCGGTGTATACACAGTGTAAAAGCATGTCGTGATTTGTTATCGCCAGCTGAAAAGGCAAGTTATTCGGCACTGGCAAGTTTGATGTTCGTTCACAAAGGTTTGGTCACCCAACTTGTCACTAGAAATCGATTAGTTGGTCATCGTTGATTGGCTAGAAGGCAAAATAGTTGCAGGCTTGTTTTGTGTGGGCAAATTGCTCAGCTTCTAGGATGCCATGATAGGGAATCAGGATTCGATAGAGAGACAGCAGTCGGGTACACGATACAACATTTTGTATGCCACTGAAAGGTTCCATACACTACATCCTATGCTGTGCTCATTCGTTCTTTTTATGGTATACTTTTACCATACATATGCATCATGGGACACGAAATTTCCCATTGTATCAAAAACTATCAAAAGTTTCCTCAAAACATCATTCAACCTCTTTCAAAAGTACCGGTTCTCGTGATAAAAGCAATTTTCGTACCGGATGCTTTGATTTACGAATGGAGGATATCCGTTCACCGTGGAATGGGGATATTGTATAATCCGATTGCATTCTTTCATGGAACAGAGGGGTAAATGTGAGCAATCGCGCACCTTTTAACTATGAGTGATTGCAACTATTACAAACGGACGAAAGAAATGCGGTTTGGGAAACCAGGAACCTAATGGTTGAGTTGAGTAGGGTATAAACTACTGACAAGTTATTCCGCATTGCAAACCAATCTGTGCCAAAATCGATGCATGGCAGTTAGTAGTTAGTTGTCGAACACCACGCTATTCGGCCACGACTCCCTGACGATCGATATGACTAGCCGGAAAAGAATATGACATCACCAGACTTCTGTCACACCGTATACGCCAAATCTTGTAGTGTTGATTGAATTTCGTGGCGCCAACTTCCCACTGACAACAAGTCAGTGGGGAAGTGGAAAAATATCTCTGATGTTAGCACCATCCTTTCAAGATCGACAGTAGATTTCGTTGAATGTTGCATTCATTTAAAATGTCAAAGGAATACCGGGAAAATTGGAATTCTGGGAATTCAGTTGTCAGGTCCCCCAGCTCCCCCCAATACCGGTTCCACCTCCCGAGGTTCAGGTGATTCTAACATTGACTGAGTGGAGTGATTGCATGTGTGCACGGCTTCGTCGGTGTTCCACGAGCAAGTTGTTGATACCGATATGTTGAGATGGCAAAATACACAAAAATAGTGAGCAACAATGGAAGCTGTTTCTTTCAGATTCCAGAAGTCGTTACTCCATTGTAAACGGGATTTCAGCCGCGCAACTATCTAACATCCGCCCCTCCAATATGAATAAATCTTGAAACGAAAACAAACTTAGTTAGACAGAAAAAACTCTGGATTAGTCTGCTCAGTTTCAATGATTTCGACGGAACAGGTTTTGATTTATTGCTGAAGTAAATAGAAAGACAAACAGACAGAGGGTAAAGGGATCGGCTCGGTAACAGCAATCAACCGAAGTTGGCTTACTTCCATAAATAGTTCTGCCAGGAGCTTCCATAAATATTCAACTCCATTGTGAACTGATCT